TTATCCTGCGGGCCGATCCAAGTTACATTTGTGGATACATGATGTTCAGTGAAGTGTCGTAGAAAGAAGAAGTCAAGCAACACTGATGGAACATGATATTCTCTGCACGAGGGGGGGGGATCTCTGACAGTGTACCGTACTCCGATATCCTCACACCACGGCCCTGTGTTGAGGTTACCTCGGTAATAACATTAAGTGATACACATGCTAAGCTACCTTTTCTGGCTTGTCATCTCTAACGCGTTGGTAGTATTCCACACTGTATATGTTGGTGTGGTGCTGAGCAAATGGAAAGTCACAAAAGGCATTTCCTGCTCTAACCTCTCTGGCATTTGTAGGCCAGCCCTCAAGGTATCGATGTTACCTCGAGATCCTATTCCGCAGAGCTTTAAAGGAACTGTCATTCAGTATTACAACATTTCCCCCACCAGAATGCTCTGAATACTTAACACATCTCCATTTTTAAATCCAGTCTCGCCCCAATAGGCCGGACCCAGTTTGGTGATGATTAAATTGTGCTCAGTAACTAAAAACCTGCAGTCGCTCCACCTCCTGTCAGACTGGGGGCAGTGACCTGCAGCTGCTCTGGTTGGTAAAAGGTATAAGTAAACCTAATTAGACCGCATTTGTACATCCCCGCTCCTCTGGCTCGGCTTTATTTGCTCGCCTTTCAGTTGTCCTGTGCTGGGGAGTTTGCCAGATTGGTCTTGTGGTCCCCGCCGCTGCAGGAGTGACGAGACACAGTGGTGTGTGTAATTAGCAGGCGAGTGTACACAGCTCCCCACAGTGTTCTGACCTCGTGCTGCAGGAGCGACAGCCACACAGCCGGCAACGAGCCTGTTCCCAGCCTCCTTCCTCCTTCTCCTGTAAAAATGCAACAAAAGCCCACAGTGTGCAACAAAAGGCTCACAATATATCCCAGCCCCTCCGGTCTTCATATCCCTCCATGCCACTGGACGACTGAATTGGGCCTGTGTGGGCTCAGGACCGAGTCCGTGAGGCAGGAGGGCTGCGTCTGAACTAGGCAATGGTGTGGAAGCTAGGATGTTAAAAAACAACAACAACAGAATCTTCTCCCTGAAGAGGTCATTAAATATTTCCTAACTCAGAAAGACTCTTCTTGACAGCAATCAACATGCTTCATAATTGAATAATTTACTGCTGGTCAGTAGAGACTGTAACGTTATAGTTATAAACAACTGCAAAAAAAACAAAAAAACCATTAGACCTAAAGTGTCTTCTTTAAATAAGATTATTTATTTCACAGTGTTTGAGAATCAAAACGACTTGTTTCATGCAATTACTGCTCGTGTGGATGCAACGATGGTAGTCTCTAAACAGTGTGTTTAATCCTCAGTTTGGTAAGAAGTACCTAATTATTTTTTTTAACTTCATGGTTTGAAAATAAAAATCCTTGTTTCCAAAAAATTAAAAACACAATGGTGTTGGAAGTCTCTCGTCCAGGACAGAATAGTGTCTGATTCTAAGCAGGGTCGTCTGAGGAACTGAAGATCACAGACACCCTGTGATCTTAGCCTTGTTTTTAGCCTTGTTCCTTTCATACAGAGATTTCTTCTCTGTATCTTATATTTTATACAGTAGATGATAAATCCTCAGATTCTTTGTGGTGTCTTTAACTCCCCCTTTGAGAATCAGAAACCTGGACACTGCAATCTGTCAAATCGTGCAAACTGGTCAACGTTTTTGTTCATATTGAGACATATTAATACACTAATTGTAAATATTGTTTATATCTTTAAGTTGCTGCGCTTTGTACATATCTTAATAATCTAGTCCTACTTGGTACTTATTGCTTATTTTATCATCTCTATTGTATTTTTACATTACATTTCTATATTCTCTGCTGCTATATTGTGTTTAAGAGCAGCTGTATATTTGTGTCTTTCGTTGCTACAGTCCACTCTTCTTCACAACATGTTGCTGGTATCAAATTCAACAATTAAATTCCACAGCTTTAACATTTGTTACATCTCCGGAGGTGATGTCACAGAGCGCTGCACTCCAGTTAAAAATGTTTTAACTTCCGCACAGGGCGAAAAGTAAAATTAGATTTGACATTATGAAGCTTCGATATTTGACAAGCAAGTACTTTTAATCACAGCAGCGACTCGAAGTTAATTTAGAGAGGATGGTTCACAGTAACAGATATAGGATGGAAAAACAAGATGTGATAGAAGGACTGGTTAATTGTGAATCTTCCGTTTTGAGTCAGATTTTATGCAAAATATTTGCAAGACTGCCAAAAAAACTTCATCCAAACATATTCAGCACTCGCTTTTAATTCTGCTGGTTTCTTATTTTGTGCGTGACTACAGACAGGTCCAGATGCTGTGCAGCTCCGACAGGTCCCGACACAACACCAAAACATCCCCTGAATAATCTCACAGCCAAGACAAACTTTTTATCAAAGAAACTTCTGTTTTTAATTTTGTTAGCAAACCCAATCTTTAGTGATGCTAAAGTAACAACCACAGGCACACATAGGAGAGCGAGGAACACTCAGTCTTAGTTTAGAAATAGAATTGTTAACATTTGGAAAAGTTTAATGAATTCATAATCTTTTATGTGAAACCACTTTGTTGACATTGGTACTTATTACTTAGTACTTATGCTAATATTTACCAGCAGAACACATTTTTCTGGCACACAGATTAGCCAGCGATGATGCTCAGAAACTTCACTGTAAGACAGGATCCAGTACAGTATGATTGACGGAGCTTCTGACTGACCTACATTTGTTTACTGATAAGTACGGTTGCCATGGGAATATTGGCTCACTGTCTTCACATTTCTTATTGCATCATTTAGTTTGAATTAAAACAATCCCCTGTCATCTCCTCCGTAAACATATTGGGTCTGCAGGCTAAGCTCATCCTGCTACAATGATGTCAAACATAAAGAAGTTATGATTCATAACTAAACTTTTATAGCATTAATTAGTAGTTCTTATTGAAGCTGACAGCCCTCAGCAGAACATGTGGTTTCATGATGTAGCACCTGTATGAAAAGTGCTTTAGCACACTCACATTCACACCAACGGCCAATTTAGAGTCACCACTTAACCTAACGAGCATCTCCTTGGACTGTGGAAGGAAGCCGGAGAGAACTTACAGATGTACAGGGAGAACATGCAGACTCCACACAGAGAGGCTCTAGTCCGACTGGGACTTGAACCAGGAAGCTCATCGCTGTGAGACAACACAGCAAACCACTGCACCACCATGCAGCCGCCTTAATCCATTATAATACCAAATATATTAAAATATAATTTCAGTAAACATAATAGTATAGTTAAAGTAATTAGGTAATAGTAGATCACTTCCGGAAGGCACCTTAAAGGCTTTATATGTGATTTTTCACACTTAAATGTAGAAATCAAGTATATCCTCTGAAAATAACTCTGTGAGTCATGACTGTCTACAATGGGTGTAACACCCGAGTCCCACTGTCTGTGATGTTTTCAGAGCTTTCAGAGTCCTATCTTCAGTTTGTTTACATCGCCGGGACGGCTGGCTGACTCCTCCCCTCACGTATAAAAGTTGTTTAATTGAGGGACTAGAGAAAAGAAGAATAACATACTGTACTCACTGCTTAACTGTGTTTCTAGATCACGCTCATTTCAGGTAAATTTACATGCAGTGTGAAGATACGAGCATAATAAAGATCGCTAGCATTAGCATGCTAACACAACAATGCAGCGCAAGTTGTTTTGGCTTCATGCTGGTGCTCAAGGGCGACATCTGCTGGATCAAAAATTGCATATAAAGCCTTTAATGTCATGTTTCTTTTAATGCGCTTCATGTTCTTTGACACTGCAGGTTGAATGAAATACACTTTGGTCATGGACAGAACATGAAGTTGTTTACGTCCTGATGCTTCCTTCATATCCACCACAGCTCTGCTAATAACTGCTTCTGGATCCCCTTCTGTAAGATCGCCTCGCTAATGTGTTTAGCCCGTCGATTTTAAATTAAGTATTGGCCTCTCATGTGGAGCTATGAGTTTGACACAGCTGCCCTATTATGACGCCGTGCGTGGGCCCGAGGACTTACATAGAGTGACAGAAACGGAAAGAACAATCATGTCACGAGAAGTGCAACTTATAGCTGCATTAGCTCCATTAGCATAGGGGAAATCATTTGACACCATCACTGCTGTGGCTTCTGTTTGTTAAATGTTCAACGTGGGGCTTGCAGGGGAAAAGGCGATGAATTAGTCATGCCTCTGGTGCAGTCAGACTTAATGTGATAAAGGTAGGTAATCATCTTCTGCAGATATATAATTCACTATTAATAGCCCTTCTAACTCTAAATTTAACCGTGACAAATGATTGCATTTCTGAGTCATTTTTTACAGACGGCTCGCGCTCCCCCCACCTTTCTTGTTTCCCGGCTAACCTATTTGAAAGACTTGCTGCTACTGGCCCAAATATGTCACACCTAACAAGGCATTGCTGCAAAATTTAGCCTGTCAATATGTGTCAAGCCTCATTCATCAGCGATCATTCTTTATCTCGCCTGTCCTTCTTCTTTCACATTTCACCGCGGCGGCGAGGATTGACTTTGCCCAGAGCTCACGTTTGTACAATTCCAACCCCCCCCAGCCCCACCCCCCACCCCCACCCGCAGGTCGCATGCTTCAAGGTGTAAAAGCAATGGCAATCACAGTCCTCGCTAAGAGACAGAAAACAGAGTGAAGGGCAGGAACTGTGTAAGCAGCTGATTGTGAATCTCTCTCTAAACTTAAATTTGGTCCATGCGGCGTGTCTGATGATTGACATTATCTGCTCTCATTGGCTGGTTGTGACAGGCATGAGGAGCTCACACCTGACCTGCATGAGATACTACTGAGTGTCAACCCACTGACATACAGTAACACATGTTGGCTTCTCCCCCTCCCCCCCCCCCAAACAGCAACAAACCTACCATCCTCTCTGAGAAGAATATACTCCAATTTATTGTATATTTTTTTGTTCCCAGGGTGTGAAAGGTGACCCAGGGCCACTCGGGCCAGTCGGTCCTAAAGGAAGCAAAGTGAGTGATACAGGAAGACGTGGACAAAAAAAAACACAACCATCGTTTTCCTTTTTTTTTTCTTATCAATGAATATAGACACTTAAGGGAACCTGCTTGACTTCCATGTGCTGTAATCTGAGTCTGAATTACATGTTTTTCCAATCTGTTTGAAGTGCAGCTATGATTGCTATCATAACTTACCAAGACCCGATTGATGGTCATATCGAGTAGGCATTATCCCAGCTGAGTGAAAACATCCAGCTCACTGTATGTGTAGATTATGTTATGTTCATGGGGATAGATTTTTGACATGAGCGTACCCACATGAATCACTTCACCTTGCCTTCTCTAAGCACTTTTTATTAGCCGAATAAAGCCTATGGTAAAGATGTGGATTGCACACTGTATGGCTTAGTTCAAGGTTCAGGGTTGTCTTTATATTGTCCCTGTGAGAGGGTATTTTTTTTTGCAGTCAGCAGGAATATGCATACAGTACACACAGCCAGCAATCAGTGTACAACATGAGAATGTAACATGATAAGTAGAGGTGGAGAAAAAAAATCGATTCATGTAAAAATTGAGTTTCTTATTTTGTGAGATTTCTTTTTTGGGGGCTGATCAGTCACTCTCTGCTAAGTGGTTTCAAGACCCAATGACATAAAACATTAGTCACATCTACCAAAACTCACTGCCCCCCCCCCCTTTCATATGTATATATTAACCTGAATGAAGATTTAAAGAACCCCTACAGAGATCAAAATTAAACCTGTACCAAGAAAATTAACATCACCCCGTGCAGGAAAAATAATAGAAACATATGTACATTTTAAAACAGTTCAAATTAAACCTGAACAAGAATGGAACAACAGCTGCAGAGAAGCATTTATGTTGTAAGGTACAGCCTCGTCTGACAGGAGTAGGGCAGTTTTTAAATGAGTCCGTGCATAATTTAGGGCAGTGTTTCTCAATAACTGCCCTGCAAGTTTCAGATGTTTAAGAGCTCATCAAGAAGTCTGATCATGACCAATGTCTTTGAATCAGGTGTGTTGGAAGTGGGACACATCTAAAACATGCAGGGCAGGGGGGTCGCCATAACCAGGATTGAGAAAGACTTCTTTAATGATTTCCTAATAGTCACAGTGTGCTGCCCTAACAGTGAGGTGTTATACAATCGTATGTCCAGAAGGATGAAAGGATCACATCATAATAATTATGATTATTCAGAGAGGTTATGTAGGTATGTCCTGTACAGTAGTCTTCCCTGTGTTTCAGGAGCCATGGGGTCTTAGATCAGCTGCAGAGGAGTTTGATGCATGCTCTTATCTGCAGCGTCTTTAAAGTCTGCTCACCGACATCGCAGACATGAGTACGATAAACTCTTGGTCTTTTTAAAGTTTTCTTCTCTTTGCATCCCACAGCGGTATTATTTTCCATGTGTGAGACGAAATGTGTTTTCCTGTAATTAGTTGCCATATCTCCAGCTCTTTTATTTTGCCTGCTGTATAGAGGCTTTGTGTGTGTGTGTGTGTGTGTGTGTGTGTGTGTGTGTGTGTGTGTGTGTGTGTGTGTGTGTGTGTGTGTGTGTGTGTGTGTGTGTGTGGCATTGTTGTCTTTTGGAATAACTCACCACATAATTGTAGGTGCAGTGCTCTGTCTGCCAGCCTTGAAGTTATAATGAGGTCTGTGTGTTTCTGTGAAGACAACACAGCATCACAGGGTATTTTATCCTATTTTCCGGATGGGAGGGTGAGGGGGTGGTGGTGAGGAGGGGGTGTTGGAGGTGGGAGCTAACGTTTGTTTGTATTGAAACTGACAGAGGGAGGCAGATTTGGAAGCATAGAGTAATGAGTCTCCTGAATATCCCATAGCAGGCATATTTTAGCTGTGACATTCATTCAGACAACAAAAAACGAATATGAACTACAAGCACTTTTTTCTCTCTCTCTATCCACATCTGATGAAAGAGGGTTCCCCGCTTGTAAAGTCCACTGTTTCTCAACTCGGTGCGTTTAAAAAAGGCGAGAGTGCTGCAGAAAAACACCAGACAGTGATGCATGAGTTTGATCTGAAAAGACAAAAAAAAAAAGAGAGAGGCAGCAAAAGGCATGTGAAACCATCTCTTACACTTGATTCTTCAGGCGTCAAAAGACATCAGCTTTGTTTCCTTTTATGACTTTTAGCGGCTGTCGGTATGTCACAGTCACCGAGCAGTGTTTTCATATCTGTCCAATCTTAATAGTGCAAAGCTTTTACATGATATAATAGAGCTTTTGTTTATTCTACCGCCTGTCACGTTTGATAGCAGCAGCCCAGCTGTTAGTCATCTGACTGTTTAAAAGTCCTCGGACATTTCAAGACACGTTGCAAATACCAGTTAATGGCTTTCCATAGCATAGAGTGCATATGTATTTCAATGTTGTGGCTTTTGCATAGTAAATCTTTTTTTACTTGACCTTCCCCTTTTTTTTTTATCACAAACATCACAGCCGGCCTTTAAGCTTCATGTATAACAGAATATGACGCTTTAAATCTGTAGCTGTGGCCGATGTTATTCAGTGAAGTTTGGACTAATTATGATGTTCCTTCACAGGGTGACATGGGTCTGCCTGGAGCTCCGGGGCTTCCTGTAAGTTCACACTGTTTGATTAACATCTCATTATGCAATCTGTGTGGCTAAGGACACTAAAAAAAGCAGGACTTTTTTTTTTTTTTTTTTAAATGTCCTTATTTTGATGCAGAAGTGGAAAAATAACTAGCAGGACAAGTTTATTCATAAAGCACATTTTGAACAAACAGGAAATTCAAAGTGTTTTACATGAAACATTCAAATATCAGTTCAATCAGGAGGAGAGACTTCATTAAGAATGAACAATTATTTATTTAACAATTTAGGACATAGATGTGCAAAGTCTTTGGGGATTATACTCCATCATGACGACTTCATGTACTCAGAGGATAGGATACCCCCCTATGGACGACACTGGTGGTGGTGGTGGTGCAGGATGTGATGAGGAGTGGGTTTCTGAGGCTGGATCTGAACTCTGCTGAGCTGGAATGGAGGTGATCGGGTGGAGGAGGGTTGCAGCGATCGCTCTGAAATGACAAACTGACTGTGGACGAGAGAGAACAGGTTTTAAAATTTGACCGTGGCAGGATGATTGGTTGAGAGAGGTTGTGGCAGAATTTAAGTTTAAGTTTTCTGCTCCCTTTAATTGGAGCGAATTACAAAAAGAGCTGAAATGTGTCCAACAAACTTCTCTCGTTGGACACGTTATATGGAGAAGGACACATCTGGCTGTAGATGTTCTAACTGATGATTTTGACAAACATTTGCTGTTCAGATTTTTAATGCCTAATGATTTATTTTTGTGTTTGAATGTTTGGCTGCTCGTTGTTTGAGTGAAACTCTGTTAATTGTGCTGCTGCCTGTCTTGACCAGGACAGAGTTTTACTTGAAGAGTAAACGCCCAGAATCAGCTGATCACCAGAGCAGGGAGACGGAGGAAGAGGTAGAGAGGGAGGGGCTTAGTTGAATGACGAAATGTACTAAATGTGTTGCTGAGCTCCATGACAAAGGGAAACAGAAACAAGGACATTAAGAAAGTAATTAAAACAAGGCCTTAAAGCCTGAAGACGATCAAATAAAAAATAAAAAATACAACAAATAAAAACAGCTTAAACAGAAGCTAAAATATAAGTAGACAGTGATAACAAAGAGTAAAGGTTATAGTGCTTTTTTATAAGTCAAATAGTTATGAAATACATTAGTAGAAGAATGTAATCAAAGGCAGCGGTCAACAGGAGAGTTGAAGCCGACTTGCAGTTTTCTGGGAGTTTGTTTAAGATATATGGAGGATAAAAACTTCACGCTGCTTCTCCATGTTTGGTTCTGAATGTGGGGACAGAAAGCAGACCTGTCTGAGTGGTCTGGATGGCTCACAGTGAATGAGAAGGTCACTGAATTATTTGAAAAAAAACATTCTCTGGCAGACAGGGAGCGAGTCCAGAGAAGTTGACATAGTTGACTTTTTAAAAATGTTCACCTATCTTCCTCTATTTGAACACAAACATCAGAACTTTCTTACTTCTTTGATGTTACCGGGGTGTCAGGAGGCAAGACGTGATGTTGAAAAGAAGCTGAGGAAATCCAAGGTGGCGACAGAGTCTGGCAACATTATTCTGAAACTACAAGGACTATTTTTGGACTTTGCTTCAATGTGTTGTTGGGTGTTTTCACAGCTTGGATGAACGAGTTGAGAAGAACACACTGTACTGGTGAGCAGAAAAGAGAGTAGAAAAGACTGAGATGGAACTGTTGTGCACAGGTGATATACACGTCATCACCTCCACCTGCTGGGCCGGGTTTCATACCTTCTGCGTTCACATCAGCTCACCCTGACTTTATGCGGATATTTAAAAAGTCAACCACTTGTGCACAAGCAAGCAGTTCACTATGAATTTTGGGGGAAATATTATAATAATATATTGTTAATCTGTATGCCGATGTGCAGTGTGCTGACTTCTGTTTTCTCTGATATTTCTTCATTCCCAATTTCTAACTAAATTAATCAAAAAAAAGCTGATTTTTTTTCATCAGAGTAAAGAAAATGTTTGAGATTTAAAGTGATATCTTTTAAATTTGAAGTTACAATTATTTCATTTCAAATTTCTTCCATGTATGACATGATGTTCAGGAATCTTTGCACAGTAACAGTGAGTGAAACCATCTTTCAGAGAGCTTCTTCTCACTGTTAACAGAACATGTCAGAGCTTGGACTTTCTCACTTTCAGTTCAGGCCAGAAGGTGAATAAGTTCTTACCGGAGTCTTTTTTTTTTTTTTTTTTACACAAGTATCCATACTTCTTGAGTGAAAGATGTGTGTACCTCTCTGTTCGGGTATGACCTGAAACGACAGTACTGCAGCTTTTTTGTAACTATATCACAGCCTTTAGGGCCAAGCCGGCGCTGCACAATGTGGTAAAACTCAAACCCACGGAGATGGAAAGTGAGGCACTCAGGTGAGCAGTCTCTGTGACACATTACCATCGCCTGGGAGTGGGTCAAACGAGGAGCAGATAGACAGGGCTCAGCGGGCATCCTCACTTAGGCCAAAAAAGGATAGGGATGAGCAGCCAGGCAGAGCAGACGGAGGGATCCAGGCTCGAAGAAGAGGAGGGTGACAGGTAGTCACTGGCTGTATCCCACATGGGGGAGATGTGCACTTATTGGCCTGTCCCTGCAGACTTTGTTGCATTTACAGACACCCTGGAAGAACTACAGCAACACACTCCATGTGGTTCAGTCTTATAATTGGCCTGGCTGTACTCCTGCTTTCTCTGTGGTCGTGCCAAATCCATAGGACAGAGCGTATACCTCCAGAATGGGCTCATCCCAGTGCACACACAAATTGAAGCTACACATGTCAGCATGACAGAAGATGCATGTACTCACAGATGCTTGCATAGTCACCCATCAACAAGTGTAGTTAATATGTGGGCAAACATGCATGCACACAGACGCTGTATGCATTTTAGTCGGGGAGTTGACGGCTGTTTGAGATTAAAGGTATACAGAGGGTGGTAAGCTAATTATGTGCATCATGAGGGGATCAGCCTGCCAGTTTTAATCAGGACAGAAAAGCAGAGCCCTGCTGCGTCTGTTTTGGCCCTTATATGTCACCGAAGTGCCTACGATACCCATAAAACATTGCTTCCATTCATAAACTATTCTCTAAATCGCCATACACACAACAGGATGATCGAAAGGAGTCGACTTGACAACGCTGTCAAAACCTCGGAAGCCTTAAATCGGTCAACTGGTTTGCAGTTCATATTTAAACACTGAAGTGGTGATAGTAACTTCCACATACCATCAAATGTATCTAATGTGACAGATTATGCAGACTTGTTGAACAAGTATATCTATTATAGAATTTACAATTTGATGTGGTTTTTGAAAATATACCAACCAAGTCATCCAGCCTGTTGTCAAGACTCTTACCCCCCCTTTCCTGCAACATTTTGTTGTTGTTGTTTTTTGAAGGATCCCCTTCAAAATTGAGTTCAGCAAATTACCTTTTTTTGATGCTTTTAAAGACAGTCTTATATTTCTGTGATGTGAGATGTGTTATGAAAGATTTGTTCTGCTGGTAAGGACTTCAGAGCTTCATCAGTTTCAAATCATATATATTACAAATGCACAATATTAAGATTTGATATTCTGTTGTGTGGGTGGAACCCCGGCACTCTCAGGATTGTCATGTGTAATCAAATGAGAAGCGATCTGACTCAAGAAGGAAGCACAACAACGGGGCGGCTGTGGCTCAGCTGGTAGAGTCAGTGGGGTCGGGGGTTCAATCCCCAGCTCCTGCAGCCACATGTCCCATGTGTCCTTGGGCAAGACACTTGACCACAAGTTGCTCCTGCTGCTTTGGCAGTGGTGTATAAATGTGTATGAATGGATTCGATACTTCTGATGGTCACTTTACCCAGCAGCCTCTACCATCAATGTGTGATCGTGTAGGCGTGACCTGCTGTATAAAAGCGCTTTGAGTAGTCAGAGAACTAGAAAAGCGCTATGCTCAAGTCCATTTACCATTTAACAACCTCAGTAAATCAATTGTAACCCACCTCCACCTCATGCTGTAATCTCTACACCGTCGCCATGACGTAATCCATCGTTTATTACTTTTTTTTTTTTTTAGAGGATATTCTGTAAAAGGCAAAAAAACAATAACCAAATCTCCCGGCCCGCCGTCTACCAAGCTTCTTTACTTGAAAGTCACGTTCAACCACGAGATCTGCAAGGTTTCCAGTTTTGAGGGACTGGTCTGGTTATTTATGAACTGAATCTGTTAGTGTGTGTGGTGTTCTGTCTATTATTCATTCTGATCTATCATTAATAGCTGTTGTGTGGGATCTCTTAACATTTTTTAACATCTGTTTGGATTTTAAAGACTTGTGGTGTGGGACAGGCTAAATAACATTTATTCCCTTTCTAGCAAACATGCTTTTGGCAATCTTTCTCAAAACAAGCCAGTGGATAAGTCGGGGAGTGTGGACTTGCTTGCTGATAGCGGATTTGCATTGTTTCCCTCGTTACCAAAGGTCAAAACTCTGAGCTCATAAGCCAACAATAAGATGAACCACTGTACATGAATAATTGATTTATTAGCGATGGTGTTGCAGGAAAGCTCAGGCATGTTTTATTTAGGGTGTCACAGGTCAGAGCTGTCACTCTTTTTTTTTTTTTTTTATGTATACGTCTACGACTGTCTCAGCTCCCTTCAGCCTCCTTGTTATATATATATTTTTTATTTTCCTGTTTGTTTCTGCATGAGTCGTCCCACTGACTGGAGGACAAATGTTGTGAGCGGCCATTTCTGCAGCTGTTTCTAAGAAAAGTCAACACAGTTTGACTCTTGGATGCCAATTGAAAAAGGACACCAATTACTGGGCTTGTATCTGAAAGCCGAGATGTTTTATGTGGCCTTGTGTCCGTTCTGTGGCCCGCTGGATAGACGACTCTGTCTGCCCTTTCCTGACAGTGGCGGGCAGGGTGTCTGGGGAGTTGAAACAGCAAGGTCCTAACTTCTGCACAGGTCACAGCGGCCAAGGATAATTACCTCATGACCAATTGTATGGCTTACTTATAACTGTCTGAAACGCATGTTCTGTTATACCATCGTCATTTATTCATACTGACTCACATGTTTTTTCTTTTTCATTCCTAGGCTGACAAAGACTGTTTCAAGGGTGACCAGGTACTTTGAATAAATAATTATTACATTTCTCTGCAAAATAAGTATCATAACATTTGTATTCTTGGATACGGAAGCCCTAAGCAGACATGCATCCACACCTTTTATTTAACTACATTTTCCAGGTACATTTTGAGCTGCTTAAATCAGAATAGCAAAGCAGGTTTTTTTTCTTGATAACCAGTTAAGTTGAGCCGTTTTCTCAAGATTTCAAGGAATTAACTCATTTTCTCAGGAGAAAGCAGCGTCGTTATTCCAAGACAATGAGAAAAAAAAGTCAAGATCTCAAAAAACACTTGCAATCTTCTCAATATTATAGTAAAAAGGAGTTAATTTAAATGTATTGATGCATGTGTGCATATGGCTTCCTATCATGGGTACTAGTTTTCTTGTTAATATAGATCTTTATTTGCCTCCCACAGGGCCTTCCAGGTGAAAAAGGAGAAAAGGTAACGACTGAATTACTTCACATATGTTTTTTGCTTTTTTCATCGTTTGCACATCACATGTTCTCAAGCAATCAGGCACAATCATTAGGATCAGCAAGCAATTATTGAGGCACCATATGCATAACCTTGCACAAGAACTTCAAAAAAAATAAAATCCCGAGTCAGCATATACCTTGATTAACTCATTTATCGTTCCTTATGAAGATACTGCGCAGGATAATGGAACGAATCTGTGATCAACGGAGGCTGCAAATTGCCCATTAAGGGGGAAAGCGGAGAAGTCACCTAGAAACGGTTCAGTGGAAACTACAGCTGTACTGTCTCCCTTCATCTAGTCATGCAATTTTGAAGCTAAGCTAATGCTGTGTTTCCCATCACTACCAATAAGCCCGCTAGTTATCCAGGAGACTGCTGAGAACGTCTTTCTTACAAAAAAATAGTTACAAGAAGCACATGCCACAATCTCCTCCTGCAATGTAGCACCAATTCACTTTGATGCATGTCCTTTCCCCAGGGATCTGCCGGGGTGCCAGGTCAGCCGGGGGAACCAGGCAAAGAGGGCAAAAGGGTGAGTAAACAGAAAGAGATCACTGGTTGTGTGGCCTTGCTGGTGGTTGTGCTGACTGGAAGGAGCTGGCCTGGGGAAAGGCCAAACAGCAGCTGAGGGGTTGTTGTTGTTTTGGGGTTAGTGGGGGGGGGGGAGAGAAAAATGATCTGTGGTGTTGGATGAGCCCTGCAAAGAGAGAAGCTGAAGTGTGGGCTTGTTATATGACAATTAATGAGTGGGCGTCACAGTGGAGGGGTCACACACAGTGACAGTATGACTGGCAGCACACATGGTGGAGTCCCACTGGGCGACTGGTGGACGGTATTCAGTTACATTAAAGGCAAGTTTGATTTGGCAAAGAGAGACGATGTCTATCACTGAATCAAGTGGAAGAATACACGACAGCTGCGTATTTATCATCTCTGACTGTGATAACTTTAGTGAAGTGTCAGGGTTTGCAAAGTCAGGTCTGATAAAAGTATGCATTCACAGCAAAATATTATCTCACAGGAACACTTATTTTCAAAGTCTTTTTCAGAAATAGAAGCAAGTAAATGCACAGTGATCACAAACACCTGCATTATATCGTATAATATCTTATCTTATCATATCGCACTTTATCATTAAATATACATTTGTATCATTCGGCTGATTCTTGCTGATACAGAGTCCTAATGTACAATCAAACTTGTTGGGATGAATGCAAGTTTTTCAATATTTGGGGTGCCTCAGGATGGGGAATATTTTTTATTCTTTTTTTATATATATATTTTTTTAAATGCTTGATATTGGGGACGCTGGGAGCTGAGGGGTTAGGGTGCATGGGGCATGTACAGAGGCTGTGGTCCTTGAAGTGGGCAGCCCAGGTTCAAATCCCACCTGTGACCCTTTTCCTGCATGTCATCCCCCGTCTATCCACTGTCCTATCTCTAAATAAAGGCATAACAAGCCCCCAAAAAATCTAATAAAAAAGCTTCATATTTGTTAATTTATTAGTTAATTAGTTAAAAAATAATAATAGAGGATAGTTTATTTCTAAAAAAAAAAAGAAAAAGTCATGGGTAAACATAACAGAACTATGGTGGGCTGCAGGTTTTCCCAACAAAGAGAATGTTATTGTTCCCTGACTCCACAGCTGAAAGGCAGCCTCCAAGGACAGGTGGAGAGAGTGTCCTTTTGTGTCCCGCTTAATTGACTCGGTGTGAATACCTTCGCCCTGCAACCCCCGTGATCACAAATAGGACCTTCGGATAACTCAATGTTCCCGTTTGTCTGACGGGAACAGCGAGAGAAAACATGTGGCTCCACTGCTGCAAAATATAAAAAAAAGAAATAGCAGATCGAACTGTAGAGAAGCCATAAGTAGTCAGGCAAATATTCTTTTTCAGATGAAGCAAGAACCAAGATAATGCACGATACTCGAGACATCTGGACATAACTATGTCAGGAATTCCACCCTTCTGCATTTGAATACATTCAAATCAAACATGTTCCAAAAAGCATTCACAATTTACGACCCATCTTCGGTTGTATTATTTCTCAATGGAGCGTCTTCCTCTGGGAGGAAAGTTAAAGTATCTATGTTTTCATGGAAAGTATTCACAGTCAACAAAAGTGACCTCTGAGGCTCCTGCAGATGTTTTTCCTGATGCTGTTGTCTCTCCACCTCATTAGTTTACTGTTATTTTATACTTAACCTTACTTAAGGAGGTGTGAAGCGTCAGATGGACTGCATGTCAGAAGCATCAATTACATCGTGCACTTTTCTTTTGGAATCCAGATTTGTAAAGAAACTTTCAACCGTTTTCAGGAAATTGAAAGTGACTCTTCTTTTGAAGTTGTGGTTTCTTGGTTTCCTATGTACCTGAAATATTTCTCACACTGGTTCCTTTCTTTGAAGATTTTTGTTGGTAAAACTGCCACAGGGCTTTAAGCCGGCCCTTTGCAAGTATTTCTGCTGCTGCTGTTGTTGGTTGCTGAAAGAGACAGTTCTGATCTAATAATACCGTGCCTTTGATGACTGGCTGACTTCATGGTGACTGTTAATGCGCTAAGGTTTCTGCTTATTCTTAGCTCTAGAGGAGTCACATGTGGCCTCCCGTGGTTGTTGACCAACCTGTGGTTTCTGCAGTTTGACGCCCCATTTTGGAGCATGGACGTGTATCGTTATCAGGGGGCTTTGCTCCTGGACCGGCTGATACAGCAAGCGACTCGCACCCAATTAGCCAACTCTTGTTTTATGCGTGCAGCTTATGGGTTTCACTCACAGGAGCATCTCTGCCGCACACACAGTGCAGAATATCTTGACATAGGGCCGGCCACTCGGGCAACCTTCATATTCTAGCTGGGAGGGGAAAGCCTTCACAAGGCCTTAGATTCAAGCCAGGCCATCTTTCACACTGTCTGCTTCAATTTATTGTTGAGGAAAAATACAAGCACTCTAAGCTATTTAGATTTACTTCAAGGAGATGTGGAGGACATTGTAGTGGTGGAGAAGAGGAGTGATGCCATTTGCACTGATCCTTCTCTGCGGCTTAGAGCAACATATGCAAGAGAGGATATCAAGGGCAGTCACCCAACCTCTCCTGTGACCCGATGTCTAACATTCACAGAATCTTGATTTTATCTTATTACCTTGATGGATGACTAGTTCAGTTTGTCAGGCTGTGAGGTAAGGACCAGTTGAAAAACCATGTCCGGGAATTTATGGGGAATGTATCACCCCCACATTACACATCGTCATTAATAGTAATGTGAACGGGCTTGGTTTTATCTATTATGGATGGCATTGACACAGAATGGCAGGGAGAGAGTACGACTTTGGGATTCAGTGGCACATTACAGCGGATCAAGAAAGAAGATGGGGAGCACCAGTAAAAGAGAACCCCTCGCATATACTGCGCTGTGCTAAAATTTCCATCAGGCGCCGTAATGATGTGCTAAGCTCTGTGTTGTCATTGTAAGGCGGCCTGGGTCGAGGAGGCGGCACACTGAAGGGAACAACCTTGGAATTTTAGTTTTTTTCTGTGTCGTCCTCTGCCAGCCAAGTATTAGGTATTCTCATACAGCGAGCAGAGCAGATAAGTGCCTGGCTGACACCCATCAACAAACATGAGGGACTGTATAAAAATAAAAAAAAGTCTGGTTTTGTGCATGCAAAAGTGATGTGGGATTTGGTGGCAGAAAGCGCTGCAAAAAAAACCCCAAACAAACACAAAATGACGTAATCTTGCATGCTGAAAATAGGACTGCAAACCCACGCTTGGTCATTGCGCACCAGCTTCTTTAAAGCCAAAATATATACAGGAACAACACAAGCAAGCTTGGTTTATTCATGTCATGCCAAGTGTTCCCAGCACACTCTTGCTTCTGTAGAGGCGGCAGGGTTGAGTGGGTTTCAGTGCAGACATGGGTTCATCCCTTCTATAGAAGTCGGTTTTTCCTTTGGATTAATAAATAATCACCTTACAAATCCCCCCATTACAAGGTGGGTCATGGAGCTTTAATCCACCACATTAAGCCTTATTAGCTCTATAAATGTGCCTGTATGGGAAAATAAGTCCTGCTAAATATGATCCACTGACAAATTCCACGTTGATACCCGCGGCTTGTTATTGAAGCCTCGTTGTCATACATTTGTTTCAATTAAATGGGACTACTGTGTGTAGGAATTATAAATAGACTCTGTACATAGATTTTCTGCTATTAATAAATGAGGCACTGTTTTCTTTGATGCATTTTGCAGAATGCTAATGACGTGAATGCAAAGCGTGTGAAATCCCCTTTCATCAGCGGAGGGGCGCTCTAATATGTCGGGGATTCCTCGTGTCCTGCTTTTGAAAATGTGTTGCATGTGTGACAGATGTGCTGCACAGTGTTTGTTCTTATTAAACATAGCCGTGCTAACTGCAGGGATGATGAAACTCCAGCAAGCCCTAGAGGACGCGGAGCGATGCAACATGCTCTGTGTACGGATGTGTTCTCTTCAAAATGAATTATGCAGCGTGGATCCTCTTACTGATTCATTCCTTTATTTATTTAAATCTTGTTAGTTGGATATTTATTGAGTTATGTTGCTTAGAGAGTGGAGTAGTTGGCACAGTTGGCAAGAGGTTATGGATTGGTAGGTGGTGAGTTGCAGCACACAGGTGGCTTTTATTACAGGTTGGATTTCTGTAATCTTTGATTCTATAAAGAATTGAACATCGGGTAAGATAAGCACTCTGCATCGGCTGCTTTGCAATTGTCTCCAGCGTCACTCTCCTGTTAAAAAAAAGAAAAAGAAAAGGCTCCTGTTTCTTACAGAAATATTCATCTGTGTAGCTCAGCTGGGGATGTGGGCGGATGACACTTTGCCACATGAGACGCCTGCCTCATATGTCAAAGTGATAAGAAAGGACAAGAGTCACAATACAGGTGAAAAGGCCAATAGAGGCGGTTTCCGGCCGGGCCACACACAACGACCCAATGGTGGGAAAAGCCATTAAAAATAGAGACTTTTAATCTGCAGGAAATGGTTTTCTCAATAAATAATATGATGTGCCAAAGTCAATACCACAGATAAAGGGGCCCGTCCAGAGTGTAGATGGCTATGGGAGAATCAGTGCAGAGGCTATAGCTCTGGGTATTTTGCTTTACTTTGATTTTACTTAACAAGTTAATTCTCTCATGCTGGATCATCTTCTGCTCTGTGCAGGAGGACTACCATGATGACTGTTTGCAGGGTCGGACAAGTGCTTTTTGTTTGTTTTCAAGTCATTTTAAATCTTGACTCCTAAAGTCAGCTTCCCAGATTTTCCAGGAAATCTTGTCTCAATTTCAACAGCTTCTTTATTTTAATTGAAAATGTTGTCCCAAAGTGGGAAAAAGAACTACAGTGGATAACAGAAGTCAAAGTAATTGTATGTACTACTGAAAGATTAAATGCAAAACATTGATGCAGCAACTGGATTTTAGTAATCTTACCAAACCCTTCAAACCTTTCAACCCCTGCTGACCTCAGATTTAACCTGAGCAGCATC